GAAGGATAAAGGGAGCTCGACTCCTAGTGGTGGGCCAATATTACTCTATTTCAAATTGAAGAATGCAACAAGTGTATAGACATTTTATGTGGAGCTTCATTAAAATTCAACTTTGTAAATCCTCAAGCAGAACAAGCAAAGGTGGATGAGTCTGAAATTGTGGAGAATTCGTTGGAAAGGTCATCCTCAGCCCTGAGATATGTGAATAAATTCCTTGAATTACAAGGATGTATGTCGTCTTCATTCCGACGTTTCTACTCCTCTAGGTTTGTGTCCAAAGAAAGTCATGATCTTGCTACTCTCTTGCCCCTCAGCCTTTTTTCTCCCCTCCACAGCTGCACGGTGAATAACTATGAGCCTACCGGAGTCCTGAAATAGTTCTCAGGATGTGTTCACTTTGATTCTAATTCAGGATTAAGCCTTTAGTGTCATTTAGTCCTGATCTGTTTCTACTGGGAGATAATGGCACATGTTTTCTGTGTGTCACACAGGCCCCAGATGTGGCCCCTGCAAAATGTTTCAAGATAAGGAATTTAATGAATTGACATAACTATAGCTTTATAATAAGCCTCAGTGTCTATTAGGACACATCCTTTTACACTGTTGTTGTTCTTCAGGATTATCGTGGATTTTTCTGACTCATTGCTCTCCATAGGAATTTTGTGATTAACTTCTGAAGTTATATAGAAAAGTAAATCTAAACAAATCTACTGGGTTTTGACCAGAATTACATTAATTAGTAGAATAATTGGGGGAGATCTGATAGATTTATGATATCAGGACTTCTTGTCCAGGGATATGGCATATCTTTCCATTTATTTAGATCTTCTTTTGTCTGCTTTAATAAAGACATTACTTTCTGTGTAATGTTTTAGCACACTTTTGTTAGATTAACTACTGAGCACTGTATAGTTTCTTTTTTTTTAAGTAGGCTAATAGTTTTCAAAAATATTTTCATTATTGAAGTATAGTTGATATACAATGTTATATTCATTTCAGGTGCACAACATAGAGATTTGACATTTATATACATTATGAAATGCTCACCATGATAAGTGTAGTCCCCATCTGTCACCATACAAGGCTATTACATTGTATTATTGAGTACATTCCCTATGCTGCACTTTTCATCTCTGTGACTTCTTTATTTCGTAACTGGAAGTTTGTACCTCTTCATCCCCTTCACCTACTTTGCCCATCCCCCCACCCTCTCCCCTCTGGCAACCACCAGTTTCTTTTCTATATGAAGAAACCTATAAATTTATTTAAAAACATGAAAAAGTGATTTGTGTAATTACAGAGAGATAACTTTTTTTGGAAATATATAAGACCAAAAGTATGTATAGTGCGATTTTAATAAATTACAATCTGGTGATTGAAGTTTGTAAAATTAAAACATAATTTTCATAATCATTCAGTTATATTTGTCTAATTTCCTTTGTTTAAACGTTTTTCAGAGGTTTCTTGTTTGACCCACAAATTATTTAGAAGTATGTTATTTAATTTCCAAGTGTTCAGGGGTTTTCCAGATATTAGGATGTTTATTTATTATTGATGTCTAATTTAATTCTATTTTGATAAGACAACATAATCTGTATGATTTTAATGCTTTAAATTTACTGAAACTGGTTTTATGGTCCAGCATATTTTGAATCATTAAAACAATCACATATAGAATGTAAAACGTCTCTGTTCTATAGTTGCTAGGCATCGTGTTCTGTAAACACACAGGCCAAGTTTGTTGGCAGAGTAGTAAGTCTTCAATACCCTTACTTATTTTCTGTTTACTTGCTCCATTGATTACTGGTAAAGAAGAGTTGAACTCACCAAATGAAATTGTGGGTTTGTTTATTTCTTCTTTCAGTTCTTACTTCATGTTGAAGCTTTGTAATTAAGTGTATACCTATTTAGAATTGTTATGTTTTCTTGATTCCTTTATCATTGTGAAACATCCCTCTTTTTCCTTAGTACTATGCTTTACCTGAAGTCTTCTTTGTCTGATATTAATTAGCCATTCAACCTTTTTATCATTAGGATTACATAGTATATATGTTTCTATTCTTTTACTTGTAACCTAGCTGCGTCTTTATAATTAAGGTATCTTGTAGACACTTGAATAGTTGACCCTTGAACAATACAAGTTTGAACTGCACAGGTCCACTTATATGTGGATTTTTAAATAAATACAGGACAGTACTGTAAATGTATGTTCTCTTCCTTATGATTTTCTTAATAATAATGTTTTCTTTTCTCCAGCTTACTTTATTGTAAGAATGTAGTACATAATACATATAACATCCAAAATCTGTGTTAATCGACTGTTTATGTTATCAGTAAGGCTTCCACTCAACAGTAGGCTATTAGTAGTTAAGTTTTAGGGGAGTCAAAAGTTAAATGTGCATTTTCAACTATGTGGGGGGTGTCAGTGCCCTAACCCCTCACATCGTTCAAGGGTAGTTTGGCCTTACTTTTCTTTTTCTTTTTTTTAAGATTTTATTTATTTATTTATTTGTTTATTTATTATTTATTTGAGAGAGAGAGATAGCGAGAGAGAGCATGAACGGGGAGGAGAAGGAGAAGCAAGCTTCCCACGAACAGGGAGCCTGATGCGGGGCTGGATCCCAGAACCCTGGGATCATTTTTTTCTCATGAGTATTTAAGGGTCTAAATTCCTTGGTGTTGCTTTAGCTCAATTTTATAGGTTTTAATATATAGTATTTTACAGTCCTTCAATTCTAAATATTTTCTGATTTCCAGAGCTATTTAGGAAATTTTGTTTTTGTTGTTGCTGTTGTCTTAAATATTCAGATCTACAGGGTTTTATGTTATCTTTTTGTTCTTGATTTCTAATTAAATGGCATTAGGACTGGAGCATATGGTTCTTTGGTAGTTGTTGATCTGTTTTATGGCCTAGAATGGCCTATTTGTGTTTCATGCTCCGAAATTCCACTATGATGTTTCAAATGTGGTTTTATTTTAATTTATCCAGATTGGGTCACATTTTCCATTCTGGGAAAATTTTAGCCATTATTTCTTTACTGCCTTTCTCTAATTCTTGCTATTCTCTTCATCTGGAACTCCTATTAGAACTATATTAGGCTTTCCCATTCTGTTATGCATGTTTCATAATCTCTTGTTTCTTATTTCCCACTTTACTATCTCTCTGTAGAGGCAATATGGTCAATTTCTTCATGTCTGCATTCCATTTATTAATTTTCTCATCTGTTTTTTAAAATTTATTTTATTTTATTTTTTAAAAGATTTTGTTTATTTATTTGAGAGAGAGAGAGAGCGAGTGAGCACACAAGCTGGGGGAGCGGCAGGCAGAGGGAGAGGGAGAACCAGACTCCCTGCTGAGCAGGGAGCATGATGCAGGGCTGGATCCCAGGGTCCTGGAATTATGACCCAAGCCAAAGGCAGATGCTTAACTGACTGAGCCACCCAGGCGCCCCTATTTATTTATTTGAGAGAGAGAGAGAGAGAGAGAAAGGGTGGGGAGGGTCAGAGGGAGAGAGAGAGAATCTGACTCCCTGCTGAGCATGGAGCCTGACCTCATGACCCCTGAGGTCAGGACCTGAGCCAAAAGCAAGAGTCCTACCCTCAACTGACTGAGCCACCAGGTGCCCCTCATCTGGTTTTTCTTAATACATGCTTAATCCATCCTTTTGAAATTAATTCCATTGAATATGTTTTTATTTATAGAATTTCACTTTTGTTGTTTTTCATGTCTACCTGATTTTTCTCATGTTTTCAGTTCCATCTATTTTGTTTTTCATATTTCTAAACACAATTATTTTATAATGGCTTTTAGATCTTTTAATTATTTCAAGTTTTTGGAGGTCTCATACTGCTGGGGGGATGCTGGTGTGTGTGTGTCCTATATGGTAGATTGTTTCCTTACATAACTTTCTAATTCTGGATGGTGAGCCCGTCTTCAGCATTACCTTACCTGTGGAAATTCTGTGGAACTTGTCTTTAGAGAGTATCTCTCCAGAATGGGTTTGTCTTTGCATCCCTTAGAACCTTATTCAGTCTAATAGCACCCTTTTTTTCCTACCCAGAGAACATGCTGAGATAGCCAAACTTCCTTGTTTTCTTCCTTTGTGTCAGGAGGGCTTTTTAAATGAAACCAAAGCCTCTGGGAGTCTTGCCTATATGTAGGGAGGAGGTGGTGGGTTTTAGTTTCAATGCTTTGCTTGGATTTTCTGTCACCAAAGAGGGCCTTAATACCCGAGGTCCTTTGTTGCATAGCTTTGCTTCCTGGTCCTCACAACAGCACTGGTTGGGGTACTAACCAGCTTTGGTTTTCAGCATCTTCTCAGTGTTGTACCCCTAAGCTCTCCCTTACTTTCTTGAGAGCTTTTAAAGGATGTTTGTTATGTTTTAGCTGCTTCTTATTTAACAGACGTGTATTTGAACGTCATTGACTTCTATGACCCTTGAGGTAATGTGTGAGTCTAATTATACAATTCAAAGCAGAGGACTTTGGTGATTTTAGGGCCATTTTTTATATGCCCAGGATTTCTGTGATAGCAGCAATAAATGCAGATTTTGTCTATTGTGGCATGGTATTGTGTATAGATATGAAACTTTTAACCCACATCTGTCTTTGTTTCAAGTGTTCTTCAAGTTAGTGGATGTTAAAGGAATTTTAAGGGTATGGAGTTAAACGTACAGATACTTTTGGATTAAGTTGTGTAACTTCACAGAATGTTTTTGTAACTTTTTCAAATATATTCATTTGTAATGCTATTGTGACTAAATTTATTGGGGATCAGACAACAAAGCAAGTCTTCAACATCTACATAACGTATGAGAGGGTTTTTGGTACTTAATGAAATTCTGTCTTTAAAAGAAGTAGGCATTCCTTAAGGGAAAGGTGCTATGCAATCGAGAATTCTGATTAGTCTTATTGCTTTATCGTGATTCATCATAGACTGACTTCTTAGTAAAATGTTGTTCCACTTTGATTTCAGAATTGTTACATCACTGAATAATGGATGAGGCTGACAGAGAAGAGAAAAGGTATGAATTCATAACTGACTGATATTGCTGTCAAAGCCCTCTCCCCTGTCTTCTGTCTTCTGTTCCTGTTTCACATCTTGCAAACTCCTACTTCTTTGGGGAAGCCTGACTCAGGGAAATTTGGTCTCTCCAGTGGGTTTTCGATAACCCCTGGCCCCAAGTCTATTATAATACTTAGTGCATTACCTATGTACCTGACAACCTCCCTCATCAAACTGTGTCTTCCATGACTTACACAGTGGCTGCCAGGAGCTGACACTAAATAATTGCTTTACACTCCCTGGTAGGTTTAGAAGCCTGTTTGGGGGCCATGGTTTGCCTGGAGCTTAAATTCATGTATGTTTGAAAAGATAAATTACCTTATTTTTCCAGTTCAAGCATCTAAAGTAAATTACTGAATGGGAAGAAATCAGAGAGGGAGACAAACCACAAGAAACCCTTAACTCTGGGAAACAATCTGAGGTTTGCTGAAGGGGAGGTGCATTGGGGGGATGGGGTAACTGGGTGATGGGCATTAAAGAGGGCACAGGATGTGATGAGCACTGGGTGTTATGCACAACTGATGAATTATTGAACGCTACATCTGAAACTGACGATGTACTATATACTGGCTAATTGACTTTAAATTAAAAAATATGTTAGTTTAAAAAAATAAATTCCAGTGCACTGATCAAAAAGTTTTTGTCCAAATTTTTCAGCATGATCTGTTTTTCAAAGTTAAAAAAAAAAAGATTTCAATTAGCCTTTTATTGTCCAGCCTTCTCTCTGAGATGGAGCAATGGCTTTGCAAGAGCCTCTTGAGTAATTATATATCGTATAGAAAGAATTTTCTTTAATCAGAAGTACTCTTGTAAAAGCAGGTAAGAATATATGGTGGAACAAAGATCCACCACTAAATTCAAGTTAATTTGGATTTAACTTATTTTATATAATTCTTAGGTTACTGTGCCAGACACTGTGCTGGGCTTTGCGCTGGAAGACACTGAGACAGATGTGGTCCCTACCCTCGAGGACCTCACAGTCTAAGGGAGATGAGATTGGTTTTCATTTCCTCGTTTTATTTTTTTTTCATTTCCTCATTTTAATATTGGCAGTTATTATTGTCCTGTGAATGATCAAGGATCTGGGTTTTTGCTCAAAAGTTGACATTAACAACTCCCTTTCTCTCTTCTTATTTCTTCTCCATCCATTGTTTCATCATCTGGATTCCTAGACCTACCCTTACCATTAACAATGCTGATTGTTTTTTTGTCACTTAGGGATGTACCTAATATATCTGAAAATAAAAAGAAGGACCGGTTTAATGCCTTCTTTAAGGAACTGCGTGCCATGCTGCAAACTCATGGTTATCCTGTGAAAGGAGACAGATCTAAAACAGCGCAGGACACTACCACCCCTTCACAGAAGAAGGAAGGTTTGATCTGGGCACCCCAACTCATCCTTATAGCTTTTTGATTAGCCATGTTGAAAATTGGTTGCGAGTGGGACAGCTGGGTCTCTCCCTTTACTTCAAACATCTTTGGGAGGGATTAATGAGGAGAGGATCTCCTGAAGCCCCTTCTAATACACAGATACGTAGTTTCTCTCTATTCAGAGTTTGTTTATAGCCAATGCTGAAAATGTTAAGGTTCATGTAAAAGTGGAACAAGGAAATGAGAATTAATAGAAGTATACTGGGCAAGAATAATGCAAATTTCTGTATCTTAGGCACTTGAAGCATATGGTAAATGTTGCTAAGGGAAGCGTGGCCCTGAGGGTGTAAAATAGTACCTATAATATTTAAGTAGACTTAATTCAAAACATCTGAACAGGTTATACCCATATGCATATAATCATGCTGTAAAAATCTGTTACTTAAAAAAATATTTTCTTGACCCCATGATGCTTCTATTACTCTCTTTCTGTGCCCTCTTCACAGCACAACTTCTTGAAAGGATCGTACGAACCCTGTCCCCACATCCTCACCCCTCATTCTTTCCTCAGTCCACTCCCCTGGGGCTACAGGTTTCACTGCTCCAGTACAGCTACTTTTGTCAGGGGTAACAGTGACCTCCACACTGCTGAATTATTTGGTCCTTAACTCTCCACATCTTTCTTGGCCTTTTTAAAAACACTGGACCGGTGACCACTCCTTTCTTCTTGAAGTATTTTTCTCCTGGCTTCCAGAATAACACACTCACCTGGTTTCTCTCTTAGCTCATTGGCTGCTCCTTTCCTTTTTTTCTTCTTTCTACCTTTCCACTTTTCCTTTCAACCTCCGAACACCAGTGTGCCCCACAGCTCAGTCCTTGGACCTTTTTTCTCCTCTAGCTACACTCATTTCCTAGGTAATCTCATCCAGTCTCTTAACTTGAAGTGCTACCTGGATGTCAGTGACCCCTGCTTGTTAAGTCTGTCTCTAGCCCTGACCTACCTGAGGTCCATACTTGAGAACTGTACTCATTATTAAATCAGCAAGAGTTTCCTATGTGACTTCTTCACTTGGATATCTAATAGAAAAGTTAACATGGCCATAAAGGAACTCTTGGTCCCTCTCTACTCCATTGCCTCTCAGCGCCCGCCCCCGCCCCCAGGTTTCCTTATTCCAGTAACTGATACCACCAGTCATTCTTCCAGCTGCCCAAGCTAAAAATGTATAAATCATTCTTGTGTCCTCCATTTCTTCCACCTCCTCATCTAATTCTTCAGCAAGCCCTTTTGGTTTTGCCTCTAAAATATATCTCAGATCCATTCACTTCTCCCCATTTCTATAGCCTTGGTATACCAACCAAATGCAGGCCACCAGCATCTGTTACTTTTGTAGAAGCCTCCTAGGTATACTCTGCTTCCAGGCTTGCTCCCCAGTTTGATCTATTTTGCACAAAATACCACAGTGGTCTTTTATTTTTTATTTTATTTTTTTAAAGATTTTATTTATTTATTTATTTATTTATTTATTTGACACAGAGAGAGAGAGAGAGAGAGAGAACAAGCAGGGGGAGCGGCAGGCAGAGGGAGAGGGAGAAGCAGGCTCTCTGCTGAGCGGGGAGCCCGACATGGGCCTCGATCCCAGGACCCGGAGATCATGACCTGAGCTGAAGGCAGATGCTTAACCGACTGAGCCACCCAGGTGCCTGCTGAAAGA